TGTGTGTGTGTGTGTGTGTGTGTGTGTGTGTGTGTGTGTGTGTGTGTGTGTGTGTGTGTGTGTGTGTGTGTGTGTGTGTGTGTGTGTGTGTGTTAATAAAAAAGGGGTAGGGACCGCTTTGGATTTCTCTGAAACATTGGTGCCAGGTGAGAAATTACAAAATGGTTGCATTGAATCAGGTTGCCCATTTCAGTAACTATCTCAGTACAATCCATATCTTAGTAAATGAATGTGCATACTGGGCAGTTATAAAATAGTTTGTTCATAATAAACAGCAAAGGCCACAGTACCGTTTCACCTGTGCATCTGAAGAAATCCAGAAAATCTGTACAAAAATGACTCTTAACATTTAGTATTTTTAATAATCATGATCCTGCTGTTTATAGTGGATATATATTTTTTGTACTCCTTCTCTGAAATAAACTGTATTCTAAGAAAATACAGGCTGCAATCAGTGAGCCCTGGGCATTTGACAGTGCAGTTTTGTCAAGCATTTTTTTCCTTCATAACCAAAGAAATTGCTTTTGAGTAATTGTAAGGCAGTGTCCAGTAAACTGAATCAGTGCCTCTGAAGTCTTCTCCTTGTGGACCCACCTATCTTAGAACTGAGTTTTGCATCTGGCAGATGAATTAAATGAATGATCTTTTATTTTCAGGGTGACATCACTTCAATTCCTGAGCTTGCCGACTACATTAAAGTATTCAAGTAAGTCCTGATGGGAATGAGACACTGGTGAAAGTGATAATAATATCAATGAATAATTAATTATAAAACTGCATAATATCCTTTTTTACTGTCTTGAGATTTTACTGCACACTACTACTACTTTGGTTTGCTTGCAATGTCATCTAGCACTTTGACGGTATACTGTTGTAGCTAAAAATACCATGGTGCTCGTGATATTACAACTTTGTTTATGTTCGATTTGCCTAGCACCTACCAGGGCTCTCTGCTCCTAACCTAACTGAAATCACTCTACTACAACTTTATTTAATATTGTAAGACGTTAATTCAGTTCTTCACATGAAAACTTGTATTTTGTAATGTTTCGTCCTTAAATGCATGTATACACCCTCACTTCAGAGTTGGTGAAAGAGAACTTCCTGCCTATTCTTAGCTAGTGACTAGTGCTTAAATGTTTGTGTAATGAAGTTAATGCCAGTACATTTAATCAGGCTGTCCTAAATTTAGCTATGTGACTCTATCCCCTAGCTAGAAACTTCACTCAAGTGCTTTTCTTGGTTTGAGAGAGGCTAGGTGACTAGCAGACAAGTGGGATTCTGCCTGCTTGTTCTCTCCTAACTGCTAACAGGAATAGATTTAAGTTAACTGCATTGCTCTTCCATTTCACTGAAGAGTGGATTTTTTTCTGACTTGGATCATGATGCATGGAAACTGGGAACAGTCATGTCTGGACCTGAGTAATATTTGGCAGTCACAGCTCTCTCTTGCAATTTAATGCACGCTGCATTTAGAATATGATGAAAGTTCTGGAAACTGGGAATAGATGTAGATCCAGCTTTCGTGGGTTCGGTGCCACACCAAAAGCAAAAGCATTTGCAAAAAGTAGCATTGTGAAAAACCTTTCTTCTATATACTGGCTTGATTCTGGAGCCAGAGCACATCCCATGAAATCTCTTGCTCAGCTTACAATACATATTTATCAAGTTAGCTATGCCTGACTAGACCTGGGTCTCTCTAGTCTCTGTTTGATTCCTGTACCGTGGTTTCAGGGCTGGAATCTCTGTTCACGTAGGTTAGGGGTCAGCAACCCCCAGCACACGTGCCAAGCATGGCACACAAGGCCATTTTGCTCGGCACACCACCCCCAGCCCGGGCTCTACGCAGCTGCTGCCAGCCACGGAGCCCAGGCTGCTCCCAGCAGCTGACTGGGAGGCTGCAAGCAGGCTGGGGCTGCAAACAACTGCTCTGGGCTCTGGCATGTTGGCACTCCAGCACCTTCCAAGGTAGACATTGTGGTTTTTTCGGCACTCCAGCCAGAAATGTTGTCTATCTCTGATGTAGGTGAATGTTTTCTCCTTTTTAAAAGTCTTAATTGTTACTACTGTGTAGTATACTTTTGTTAACTAGCTTCTTCAGTTGTGTCAATTTTATTAACTGCTAATTGGAGTTCTAATCAGAAGCAATCATGGTGTATTGTTTGGAAGTAGTTTCATGAGACTCCCCCAGATCAGTGTGATGGAGGAAAGGAGAGGTGAATATTTTGAAGCTTTCTGAATACTCCTACCATATTTACTTGAATCTGAGATGAGGATTTTCCCCCAATCAGCATGGAGGAAAGAGCCCCTTGGCTTAGATTCATGCACAAAGTGGAGCTGGGGCAGGAGGCTGCTGTGGATCTGGCTCAGCCCTGAGCACCAGTACCCCACTCCTTTTTCCCCTCACTGTTAGCCACACCTTGGCTCTGGCTGGGTTCTTTCCTGGGCATGGAGCCATGGGAAGTCCTTCCTCTGCCTGGGCACTCAGCAGTGCCAGCACTGCAGCATGGTCCAGCAAGGGCTGAGCTTCCACATGGTGGGCTTCAGAAGGGAAGGGAGGCCTAGCAGCATCTGACAGGGTGGGGAAGGTGATGGGGAAGAAGCAGAGACTGGGGAGAGTGGGGGCAGAGATGCTGTGGGGAGCTGGGGGTGGGTGGATGCAGGTGCCAGGGGTGGGAGGCAGGAAGGCTGCAGGGGGAAATAATGGGGGGGAGGCAGAGGATAAGGGGTGCACCTGACACCCCCCCCCCCCCCCTACTGCTTTTCCTGCTGTAGCAGTTGGGGAGGAGGGGTGCAGATTCAAGACAACCCTCCAATACTTAGGTCCTGTACCTGGAATATCATAACAAATTTATAAATTTGCCATGTATAAAATCTAATGATTGTGGGGGGGTTGTCTTAAATTAGGGGTCATAGATTCATAGATGTTAGGGTCAGAAGGGACCTCAATAGATCATCGAGTCCGACCCCCTGCATAGGCAGAAAAAAGCGCTGGGTTCA